AAACTCCGGGCCTAAGCAGACTGCCAGAAATAGTGCACATTAAATTGAGGCACTGCCCTGGCTCAGTGTTAGGGAATCATGGGAATTGTATTTTTTTCTGAGACATTGAGCCTTCTCTGTCAGAGAGCTCTGGTGCCACAATAAATTACAGTTCCCATGATTCCCTAGCACTGAGCCAGGGCAGTGACTCAATTTAATGTGCACTATTTCTGGCAGTCTGCTTAGGCCCTCCCACAAATTGAAAAGTGAAAGGCCACTTGCACTGGCGGTCTGAGGGGATGGGACAGATCAAGGGAAGTCTTGGATCTACAGTATCCCAAAGCTTTCTTGTTTCCTCAACATGACCCCCAAACTATCCAGAAAACACGCCAGTTCTGAAACTGGCAAAGTTAAGTTCCTCTCACTTGTCCATGGGAGGAAATTATTTTCAAAAATCATAGCAGGCAGAAGACCAAAAATGCCACCCACCACCTGTATAAGGTGCAATGAGCAGGCAGGGGATAGGAGGTGAAAGATACAATATAACAGTTTCTATTCATTGGCTGCCCTAGGACTGGTCTCTCTGAAACATTCAGTCCTGAAATCTGGATTTCTTGTCTAGTCTAATATGGACCATTATACAGTGCTTTTCAATGCACAAAGCACTTGTTAGTAATACTTAATGGGTAATCCTGAGGGATCAGATGCTGTAGAGGTTTGAGTAGCAGTTCTGAATCTTTTGGGTCATGGACCCTTTTGAGAATCTGCTATAGACTCCCTCCAAGACTTCCCATGAATCTGCTATAGACTCCCTCCAAGACTTCCCATGAAAATACACACACACACAATTTTACATGTATTGTATTGCACTGCATTGGAAACTGACTTAGGGCCTTTGCAGACTGCCAGAAATAGTGCAAATTGAGTCCACTTTAAAGGTTAGGGAATCATGGGAACTGTATTTTATTGTGGCACCAGAGCTCTCTGATAGAGAAGGCTCAATGTCTCAGAAAAAAAAATTCCCATGACTCTCTAGCACTAACCCTAACCCTTACAGTGGACTCAATTTGCACTATTTCTGGCAGTCTGCAAAGGCCCTTAGCTAACATAAACTAGTTTGAAATGATAAGTTACAATGGACATTTAAAAAGGGTAGACTTTTCTTCTTTAAAATTCACCATGGGAAGAAAAAATAAATAACAGGAAAAAAACAAAAGGAAGAAAGTAATTTTTGTATCCAGTTCATGGACCTTTGAAGCTCACCTGTAGGTTAAATACCTATGGATTAGAGAGCTGGAATAGGTCCAGGTCCTAACCATTATTCAGCCCTGAAAACGCACTGGGTAGCTGGTCCAGTCACCATCTCTCATCCTAACTCTGCCTCATAGGGTGGTTGTGTGGATAAAGGGAATTATGGATGCCATGACTTCCTTTGAGAAATGGTGGAATGTAAATAACATCACCTGGGCCAGTAATTTCCAGTACCCCACTCTATTACAATACAGTAGTTTTTGCTGGGTGTCAAATTTCTCATTGACTTTTTGCATGATTGTTACCATGCAGGATAACTACAGAGAGATCTCCTTTTTAAATTTTCTTTTCTTCCCCTTTGTTTGTGATAGTTGTATGTTAGCATCAACTTTGTTGCCATTTCTGATTTATGTCTATCCTGAGAGGAACCTATCATGACGTTTTCTTGGCATGTTTCTTCAAAGGAGGTTTGCAATTGCTATCCTCTGAGGCTGAGAGAGTGTGACCATCCATCCATGGCTGAATAGGAATTTGAACACTGCTCTCTAGGGTTATAATCCAACACTCAAACCACTACACCACACTGTCATCCACTGACTTAACTCAAAGGATGGTTGGTGAAGGCAAAAGATAAAGAAGTCAACTCACTCCAGATACTTTTTGAAAATAATGTCTTGCACCAAAATCCCTTCCTTCTACTCACACTTCCCCTTTCAGTTGTCAGCTTATTTCAATGACCTGAGTGCCTGCAAAATAAGGACTGTCACAACCAGAGTTTTAAAAACATATTGATAAAAAGTAACATTTCTAGTCAAAAAAATGAAAACAAAAAGGTTTGCAATTAATCTGCAATTAGTCATTTCACTATTTCAGCCCAAAAATAATGTTGTGGTCTATTACAGCAAAAAATAAGAAAGAATCCTGCAGCATCCTTTAAAACTAATTCATTAATGTGACATAAATCTTAGTGACCCAGGGTCCACTTTGTCAGGTGCAAGAAGAATGATTTGCATCCTATCTAGGACTGGAATACAACTCCCATTATTCTTAGACAGCAAAGGCTAGGGAAAATGGAAATATCCAGGCTTGGGATAATGGAAGTTGCAGTCCAAAACCATCATCGGCCGCCAGCCTGTAAAAGGTGAAAATACAGATGCAGAGTTCCTTTTTCCTCACTCCCAAGTTAAAAGCAGCTAAAAGGTTGCGGTAGGGTGACCAGACGCTCTCCTTTTCCAGGACATGTCCTCCATTTCAAACTTCTGTCCAGGAGGAATCCCCAAATGCTCTCCATTTGGAACAGGACTAAGAAGCATGAATTTATATTTATTATGAGTGTTTTTGACTTTCATTTTCTCTCCAGGAGGAATTCCAAAAATGTCCTCCATTTGGAGCAGCACTCAGAAGCATGAATTTATATTTATTATGAGTGTTTTTGACTTTCATTTTCTGCCCAGGAGGTATCCCCAAATGCCCTCCATTTGGAGCCGCCCAGGAGGAATCCCCCAAACGCCCTCCATTTGTGAGCATGAAGCATGGAGGACATTTGAGGGAATTCCTCCTGGGCAGAAAACCAAAGCTAAAAATACAAAAACAAACAAACAAACAAACAAAAAAAACACCACACACTCACATAAGCATAACTATAAATCCATGCTTCAACACCGTATGCATTTAACATATTCAACACTATATTCCAATTCAACACTCTCTCAGCTTTTATTTGCTCATGTGTTCTATTTTTTTTTCCTCTCTGGAAGGTCCTGCATTTTGCAGTGCCTTGTCCTCCTTGGGACTATTTGGTTACTCTGGGTTGAGGGGGAAGAAAGAAGGGACCCCTCTTTTCCCCAAAATAAAAAAAAATAAATACAATTATTATTATTATTATTATTATTATTATTATTATTATTATTATTATTATTATGAACCCTGCTCCCAAGGATGTAAAAAGGGGCCCACCCCTCCCTCCTACCTGGTCTTTCTGTCCTCCTGGTCCTTCTCCTCAGCTAGGTCTGGGCTGGCTCCATCTTTTGCCCTGAGACAGAAGAGGAGGGAAACTGCTGAGGCGCCTTGGTCTGTGAGAGAGAGAGAGAGAGAAAGAGAGAGCAAGAAAGAAAGAAAGGAAGAAAGAAAGGCTGAGAGGGAGAGAGAAGCAGCTGCTCTAGAGGTGAGTGGAGGGAACTTTGGGAGGGAACACCCCCACAGCCCCAAACCCGCCTCCCTGGCTGGCTTGCCCTCCCTCTGGCTTGCCCTCCAGCCTTGCCAAGTGGCTTCCCTTGCTGAGCCAGAAAGACCTCCAGACCTCCTTGGCCCTTGGACTTGGCGGGAGGCGCCTTGCCCACATCCTCCCAGCTATGGCCAAGGGGACCAGGCGTCCTCCTTTCCCAGGACCCAGGCTTCTCTGTCCGGGAGGAATTCCAAAATTCCCTCCCATTTTGAGCAGCGCTATAAGAAGCCTGGAGTTAACGTTGCTGTTCTTGTCGTGTGCCTTCATGTCAAAACAAAGGACGGTACTTGCCCATAGGGAAGCCAGACTTGCCCATGGGGAATCATTGGAGAGTACTTGCCCATCGTCCCGGAATTATGTTTCCCTATAGTCAAGTATTTCCCCAATGTATCCCTATGGGCAAGTATTTTGCAAGTATTCCCCTATGATTCTCTATGGACAACTATTTTGCAATGTTTCCCTATAAGAAAGTATTCCCCAATGTATCTCTATGGGCAACTATTTTGCAATGTTTCCCTATGGGCAAGTATTCCCCTATGACTCTCTATGGGCAAGTATTTTGCAAGTATTCCTCTATGATTCTCTATGGACAACTATTTTGCAATGTTTCTCTATGGGAAAGTATTTCCCTATGACTCTCTATGGGCAACTATTTTGCAATGTTTCTCTATGGGCAAGTATTCCCCTATGATTCTCTACGGACAAGTATTTTGCAATGTTTCCCTATGATTCTCTATGGGCAACTATTTTGCAATGTTTTCCCCTATGATTCTCTATGGGCAAGTGTTCTGCAATGTTTCCCTATAAGCAAGTATTCCCCAATGTATTCCTATGGGCAAGTATTTTGCAATGTTTCCCTATGGGCAAGTATTCCCCAATCTATCCCTATGGGCAAGTAATTCCCAATATTTCCCTATAGGGACATATTCTCTCCAATGTTTCCCTGTGAGCAAGTATGGTATCCCTATGGGCAACTTCTTTTAGTACATCATTTCTTTTAGTACATCCCATTTCTGACTTCTGGTGCCCTTAAGGTGAACCTTTCACCGAGTTTCCTTGGCAAGTTTCTTCAGAGGGTTTTTTGCCATGGCCGTCCTCTGTGGCTGAGAGAGTGTGACTTGCCCAAGGTTTACATGAGTTTACATGGCTGAGCTGGGATTCGAACCCTGGTCTCCAGAGTCCTAGTCCAATGAGTCTTTTTAGCTCGGGGTGACCAGATGTTCTCCTTTTCCAGGACATTTCCTATACTCCAGCTTTCTGTACAGGAGGAATTGCATAATGTCCTCCAATTTGAACCTAACTAAGAAGCATGAGTTTATATTTCTATGAGTGTTTTTAGCCCAGAGGCCCTCCTTTTCCAGGACATGTCCTGCACTCCAACCTTCAGAAGGAATTCCCAAATGTTCTCTATTTTGAGCCTAACAAGAAGCATGAATTTATATTTATACAGTGTTTCAAGCTTTTATGTGGTCATGTTCACTATTTTTCTTGCATATCCTCCATTTTGCGGTGCATTGTTCTCCTTTGTGGTTAGGGCATCTGGTCCTCCTGTGTGGCATAGTAGTTTGAGTGTTGGACTCAGACTCTGAAGAATAGGGTTCGAATCCTGGCTCAGCTATGCAAACCTACTGGGTGATCTTGGGCAAGTCACATGCTCTTGGCCTCAGGGAAAGGCAATGGCAAACCTCCTCTGAACATGCCCATGGCAAGCAGGGATTCAAACTGGTCTCTAAAGACATAGTCCAACACTCAAACCACTACACCGTGTTGGTTCTGCCCACCATTTTAATTCAATTTCTCTCTTGTTGCAAAACTAGCTCTCCCCAAACTGGTTATTGGTTTGGTTTTAAATTTTAAATTTATGTCCAGGTCTTTTACATTTTCTGCCTGCTAGCTCTCCTGACATTCACTTCCTACTTAGCTTATAATCCCTTCCATATTTACTAGAAAGTCAAATGCCAGAGGCATTAATGGGCCTAATGCATTGAAGTAACTGTACTGGGACCTGGGAGATCCAACTTCCTCCCCACTTAGCAATGATTTTGGGCTAGTGTTGACATGTTTTCAAAATAGCTACAAGGGATAGTCAGAATTCGTGACATACAGAATTGACAATCATGCAGTCAATATCAACTAGTTCATGTTCTACCTAAACACCAAATAAAAGACTATGGGCCTTTGCAGACTGCCAGAAATAGTGCACATTAAATTGAGGCACTGCCCTGGCTCAGTGCTAGGGAATCATGGGAATTGTATTTTTTTCTGAGACATTGAGCCTTCTCTGTCAGAGAGCTCTGGTGCCACAATAAATTACAGTTCCCATGATTCCCTAGCACTGAGCCAGGGCAGTGCCTCAATTTAATGTGCACTATTTCTGGCAGTCTGCAAAGGCCCAACATAAAAGGAAAAGAAGGTTCCAACCTTCAAATAGGAGATATCCCTTAAAATAAGGGACACTTGGTAATCCTATTAGAGACATGCTTTTTGGCCCTCAAATAAGGCCATCCCTTATAATATGCGACACCTGGCAACCTTACTTTGGGCTGTTCTTTCTCTCTTAGCCTGATCTACCTCACAGGATTGTTGTGAGGATAAAATGAGCACTCACTGGAGCCAAGGTAGGATCTAAAGGGATTATGAAAAATCATACTGTTAAAAGATCATATTATTAGTATTCCTTCTCTATCCTGTCTCTTTTTAATAATCTGATTGTTAACATATCAACAAATTTGAATGGTTCAGAATTTAAGTTATTTCATTTGACAAATAGTGAACATTCTGTTGCAAGCCAGGGTCAATATCTCCTGTTAACAAAACCATTCAGCTACATTGGACAACCAATTTTTGACACCAAACTCAGAGGCAATTTAAGGTGGGTTTTATCTTTTATTACTATGAGGGTGCTATTTTGATTTTTTTCCACAAGTGCCCACATATATTTGTTTCACTTGCAAAGATGGAATGCAACATAGTACAAACACTGTGTTTTGAACTTGAATGTGTTTTCATGAAATTCCCATTGGCTGTTTGTCTAAATTTTCTGAGTATAATAGCCAGGGTTTATATTTAAAATGGAAAGCTCATTTTGTTAGCCGCTGTGAGTCCCTATATTGGAAAGAAGGCAAGATATAAATAAATAGAATAATAATAGAATATTAATAATTTTGTAAATGAAGAATTGTGCCATTTCTTGTTCATCTGATGCAGGGGTTGGCAACCTACGGCTCAGGGGCCGGGTGTGCCCCCCCGAGGCATCTGGACCGGCCCCTGCCAACCCCTGCTGTTGCCACGCACGCTGCGGCTGCCATTTTGTTTTCCAAAATGGCGGCCGCGACTCGTTTGTGCATGCGCAGTATTCCTGTGCATGTGCGAACGAGCCACGACCACCATTTTGGAAAACAAAATGGTGGCTGTGACTCATTTGTGCATGTGCCAAGTACTGTGCATGTGCGAGCGAGTGTGCGTGTGCATGCACAGTGCTTCCAAGTATGCACGCCGTCATTCCCCCCCCCCCGGTCTCGCGGAATACCCCAGAACCAGCGGACCAGCCCCAGGTCTGTAAATCTTGCCGACCCCTGATCTGATGTATACAGTACTTGTGCATATATGGTGGCATCTGAAATACATATTTATTGATTTTCCAGCAATTACTCTCCTCAATTTGCTAATATTTTTTAACAGTGCGCTATTTATAGTTTTGCTTTTAAGATATGCATACAAGTTAATTCAAGTATCTAATTTCTAAAGATGATGCTACACCTATGATATTAGAAAACAGTTTTCCAAGATTTGTTTTTCTAAGGGGGGGGGGAGACTAGGCTTATTTTTATATGCTTTAATAAAACTGTAGTAAAACCAGAGCATTATGCTACTCATCTTCAATTATGGATGCCTTCAGCATGTTGTTATATTAATTTGTGTCTTCTCCCCAGCCAGAAACACTTTCACTAGATTATAGCTAAAACATGGCCAATTACTTCAATCAGATTATAGCTAAATCAATGCAAATGGAGTAAGTAGCCTTTAGTAACCACTGGATTCAGTTCAAGGTTATTGGTGCTATTGGTTCATCTTTCCCCTTCTTCCCACACCAAAGGGATGTCTCATATAAAAAAGAGCTGTCCCATATTTGAGTGTTGGGATTCCTGGTGGCAAGGGAAGTGGCAGCATGGTAAGTCACTTAAAAGTCAGGGGAGAACAATATAATTCTAAACAGGTCTTCTGGCTGAGATCTCAGAAAAGTAATCTATGTAATTGCCTATGTATTCCTTCCCCTCAATTAAACTCAGCATTTGATGCTGTATTGTGCATATCATCCGAGATATGGTGAACAGGAAAATTAAAATCAGAGAGTATTCCTCTCCAACCTTGCCTGAAAATACCTGGTATCAGGTTGTTTCCCATCCAAGTACTAACCAGGTCTCATTCTGATTGGCTGCTAAAAATCAGAGAAGCAAAAACTGGAGAGCAACCAATACAATCAGCAGAAGAAACTGGAGACATGTCTCAAAGCACTCAAGTAATTGATATTTTACTGATAAAAAAAAGCCAAATGCTTTTTAAAAAAACTAAAAGATCAGCTACCACACACACACACTTACATTCAGTCTTAATTCACATGTCTTTTGTCCAGTAAATGGTCTGAGAGTTCCTACTCCAGAAATTTATGTGTTTAGATTTTAAATAGCTGGGTACAGGCCACAGGCAGTACACTAATGTACGGTAATATGATTTCAAGTAACATATATGTATTTATGTGTTGTCTTTTTAGGATTTTATATAGCTCCTGAAGAAGGTCTTGGGAATACAAACAGACTAAGGGTCTCTACAGATGGGCATCCATGGGCCACCCTGAGAAGCCGAGGATTGGGGCCGTCCTCAGCCCCAATCCACTCTTTGGGTGGCCCTGGAAGGAGAGCTAAAACAGCGCTCCTTCCTCAACCACACACCTCTTCCACGTCTCTTCCATTGCAGCATGTCTGGACGCTGCGACGGAAGGACGTCATCAGCGCACTCACTATGTGCAATGGCGGGCACTCGGATGACATCCTCAGAAAGGAGTTGAGGCGCTCGGTGCCTGGCTGCCCCTCCCCTTTCTTGGCTCGAAGACGGCGCTTTGCGCCGTCTGCAAAGCCCCTAAAACCTCAAGGGCTTTTTCTAACTGACAAAACATCTTATCAATTGAGTACCTTGGCACATGGCTCCATTTTCTTCTGCAGATTCTAAAAACCAGACACAATGAAGTGTGTTCATGGTGGTATGGTGGGTTTTTTGCTTGTGTTTCTCTTCGATAGAGTTAGTATAGGGTACAACTAAAGATATAACTGACCATGACCTTCATCCCTCAAGTGCCATTACACCCAGCTGTCTGGAAATTATCCTCCTGCCCTTTCTCTCTTTTGCCTCTTATGCCTGTGTGATGCTACACTGTATCACTTCGAATTCTTCCAGAATCCTTTTTCTGAAACTATTTTAAGTCACCCTCCTAAGCCTGCTTAGGTTTACCTTGGTTTTATGTTAGTTGACTGCTAATTCATATGCTTCAGGAAGAACATGGGGACGAGGAAATCATTGGGTGGTCTTCTAGCAATCCATCATGTTCCTAATCATTTCCGGGTCATTATTGAAGTCAAGGAGAGGATGGATTGCAGAACTCTCTGGTTTGAGGTCCAGTTTTACTTGATGGCAGACCTGTCTTTAGTGAAGGTTGCCCCATATCTTGTGAATCATGAATCTAAAGGCAGACTGTATGTAATGTAAATCTGGTTCTGCCTTTTACAGTATTAAATGACAGAAAATGGAAAGGTCACCCTCAGAGGACCTGTTGGAAAACTATGTGCTTTTTAAGATGGTTGTAATGTACTGAGTCTGTTTTTGAGAAAATGCATGTGCTGTTAGACAAGCCCATGCTGATTTTACTGCTTCGCCAACAAATCCTGGCATATTTTTGTTATTGAAGAATAGCAATTTGGATGGAATTCATTTGCTGAAGAGAAGCAAGGGAGTTTTCTGTATGAAATTAAACTACGTTTTGGCAGGTTTGATTGGCTCAAGGTAAACCTGTCACTGTTTAAGAAAGAAAAAGGCAGACATTATATATATATATATATATATATATATATATATATATATATCACACAAAATCGTCAAGGAGTGCCAAAAACTGTAATGCAAATAAATGGATGTGCCAAAGTTTTAAGCAGGAAATCCTGCAGTGGATACATGAATTCTTTATATAATTCATCACTAATTTTCCACATGTAATTTAGAGTGCTTGTATTGACATTAAACCTGCAATGAATATAAATTAAGAATGGCATATTTGTTCAGTATAAAATTTCCTGTTATGTAATTCAGACACAAAGTGAATCCAAATATAAATTACTTAACTTTCGAACTATCCATTAATAAATACATTTAAAAGGCTCCTATTTTTTTTTTGCTGTACTTGCTTAATAATCATAAATGCTGAAGAACTTTTATATGTTTCTACAGAACAGAATGGAAATAACTAAAAAGACGTAAGTTTATTGAAAAGGAGATTGATGATGTTAAGCATTTAACATGAGAAGTTCTGTTGGACTCACCATAATCTTCTGTAGTGATAAACTGTCAAGC